GCCCTACAAGAGCCTGGGTGATAATATCAGTCTTCTGCTTCTGGCTAGGAAGGCTCCACCCTCCTTCCCAAGGGAAAATGAGAGCCTGGATGACCCCTGCCTGAGGCATTTTTAGCTGCAGGGAGTCTCTTTTGTTGAATGGGATAGTGGCCCTCGGTTTGCACAACAAGTTTTGCCGGAGAAGCGGGGGAGGGGCAATCCATTAAGTACAAGAAAGTCTGTTCTCTTAACATGTGAATAGCTCTAACAATATTGGTTCTGTTTTTTCCATGAGGGGGTTACAGGGCTGTCATCAGGATTGTGGGCTCTTTGGGGGCATATGATGAGTCCAGCCCCCCTCTCTTTTAGTCCAGTGGCCCTTCCACTAGATTGAACAGAGCCCCTTCACTTTTTATCTGGATCCTCGTGCTTAGGATCACCCTGTTCTCCCATTAACTGTGGGCATTTTTTTCCCCCAATGTCCTATTTCTTGACAAAATGCACACTGATCACATTGCAGGCACAGGCAGGCAGACTGTGGGGCTTTCCAGGAACCCCCCTTCTTCCACGCTGTTGGGGGCGTTCCTCTCATAGCAGCAGCTATCAAGTCAGCCTTCCGTTGAGCCTGACGTTCCCTTTCCTTATGATTTTCCCTCTGGCTTACCGCCTCTTGGTTTACAAACGCCTAGTGAGCCACTTCCAATAACTGAAGTATTCATGCATGCAAATCCTGCCTGTTTCTGCCACTGAATTTGCCTGGACTTGGGAGTCCACGTTTCTTGGCAGCGAGGGGGATGGTGGTTTCTAGCAGTCTATCCCTTGGCTACTAAAACAGTCACTGACTGCTCTCTTAGCCACTTCGGAGGGTTTAACACTAACTGCAACCACGAGTCTATGTATGGAAATTGATCGAGATGTTCTAGCTCGCCCTATATAACCTCATTCCTTACTTTGGAGACAACGGACCTGTCTAGGGTCCCCTCTGGGGCCAACCTACCCTAAATACTGGCCAATCTTCCCTACATAAAACCCTTACTTTTTCTGGTGTCATAGTTACTTTATAATTCCCACTAAATCCCTTCTTGAAATTTTTCAGCATGGTTTCTAAAGGGGTGGGCTTGCTATGGGAGTGAGCCATATTAACACTGCAAAGAAACAATTCCCACAGTTAGGAGAGGGTCAATTCACTCACAGCAGTTCCTGCCTAGCACAGAGCACTCTCCGGTTTACATTCACTTCAATCCTTTTACAATGCCCAGAGGCTTTTTCACTCAGCCTTATGTGGCTGTCTCTAATTCTTACACGTTGCTCGACACATGAGGCCCTTCCTAATAGGCCCAATACCTTTTACGACTGATGAGTCCAGCTGGACACATCTACACACACAGACGCACATCCGATTGCTCTCCTTCCAATTCAAAACCATAAGCAAAAGCTTCCAAGGTTAGTTACAGAGAGAGCTACCTTCCAAAGTGCCGATCTGGCACCCATGGGTGATCAGGCCATGCTTCCACCCAAAATGGGGTGGGCCACTTTCCCGGGTTCAATCTTACCAAATTCAGTTGTCCAGACTTCCCCAAAGACTCATTCCTCCTCGGTGTGTTCAGCCACTGGGTGGATCCGTACTGCAGGGCCTCCCTGCTCCGCTCTGGCGAGGCTTTGCCACCAGGCAAAATACCTGCCCAGGAGCACTCTCAGGATGCATCACCTCAGCGAGCAGGAGTCCCCCGGGAGGGATGCTCTGCAGGGCTAGGCAAACCACCTAAGAGACTTTTTCCCACCGTCGGCTATCCAAGACTCGCTTCCCAGCCAACGTACCAAAAATGTAGCAGGAGTGGCGGTGGGAAATGGATCTCTCGGACATCGAATACAGGAGGAAGGAGTTTATTTGGCCGGGAGCAAGGTGGCATAGTTGCCTAACAGCCAAGCTCCCCTAACAAAGGAAGGTTCCGTCTTTATATAAGCTTGTACTTGAGATGTTACACGTGGAAGAATCTTAGGTTTATAACTTAACGTATGAAAAGGATCTTGGTTTACAGTCTCAGGAATTACATATGAAAAGGGCTTTGGTTTACAGTCTTAGGAATGAAAACAGGAAGTTGATCTGAGATGGCTGGGTCTCCCTTTTCACTTCACTACAAAAAATATCCTGAAAAGTTGTCTATAGCCACTGCCTTAACTTCCTGCCATCCATTCTCCCCTTAATCTGTTCCAATCATAATTCCCCCCACCAAATATTTCACTAAAACTTTTCTAGCAAAACTTCCTCTGGTCCCTTGTCATTATTGATCTTATTCTACTTGTCATCAGCAATTTCAAAGGGTTGATTATCCTTTTTTTGTGGCCGGGGGGTGGGGGGATGAAGTTTTGCTCTTGTTGCCCAGGTTGGAGTGCAGCGGCACAATCTTGGCTCACTGCAGCCTCTGCCTCCCCCATTCAAGCAATTTTCCTACCTCTGCCTTCCAAGTAGCTAGGATCAGGGCCACACACCACCACGCCTGGCTAATTTTTGTATTTTTAGTAGAGACAGGGTTTCACCCTGTTGACCAGGCTGTTCTCAAACTCCTGACCTCACATGATCCATCTGCCTCAGCCTCCCAAAATGCTGGGATTACAGGTGTGAGCCACTGCATCCATTTGATCATCTCCCCCTTTTAAAAACACTTTCTCCTCCTGAATTTTATATTCGATGCCTAGGGCTGCTGTAACAAATTACTACAAATTGAGTGGCTTAAGATAAAAGAAATTTATGTCCTTACAGTTTTGGAGGCTAGAAGTTCAAAATCAAGGTGCCAGCAGGGCTGTGCTCTCTCTGGAGTCTCTAAAGAAGAATCTCTCTTGCCTCTTCCTAGCTTCTGGTCACTCCTGGCAATCCCTGGTATTCTTTGGCTTGTAGCTGCCTCACTCCAGTGTCTGCCTCTGTCATCACATGGCCTTTTTGTAAGGACATCCAAGTGATTGGATTCAGGACCCGCTGTAATCAGTATGACCTTATTTGAGCTTATTAGACCTAACTAATTAGATCTGCAAAGACCCTATTTTCAAATAGGTTACATTCTGAAATTCCAGATGGCATGAATTCTGGGAAGAATACTGTTTAACCTGCCACAGTTTCTGTTTTCATGCCTTCCTTGTTTTTCTTCTTCCTCATTAGCTGTTCTTTCTCACTCTCATTTGAGGGCTACTTTGCCTTATATATAAATATTGGAGTGACCCAAGGCTTGACTCAGGGCCCTTTCACCTTCTCTAAACACTCTATCTCCTGAGGGGATATCATCCACTCCCATGGTTTTGAAATTCCACTAATGACTTCCAAATTTATATTCCAGCCCTCAGCTGTACCCTCAGCTGTGTCCAAATCCCAGCCTCCTATTGATAGTAGTTAACACTTACTGGACACTCCCTATGTACCAGACCCTGTCTTAAGGTCTTGATATGTATTAACTCATTTAATCCTCACAACAAACTTATGAGGTGAACAACAATGATAGACGGGACAAAGAAAATGTGGCACACATACACCATGCAATACTATGCAGCCATAAAAAATGATGAGTTTGTGTCCTTTGTAGGGACATGAATGAATCTGGAAACCATCATTCTCAGCAAACTGACACAAGAACAGAAAATCACCACATCTTCTCACTCATAGTCAGGTGTTGAACAATGAGAACACGTGGACACAGGGAGGGGAGCATCACACACTGGGGTCTGTTGGGGGGATAGGAGAGGGAAAGCAGGGGGAGGGGAAGGTAGGGAGGGATAATGTGGGGAGAAATGCCAGATATAGGTGATGGGGGGATGGAGGCAGCAAACCACCTTGCCATGTATGTTCCTATGCAACAATCCTGCAAGATCTGCACATGTACCCCAAAACCTAAAGTACAAAAAAAAAACCTTAAGGGGTGAGTACAATTGTTATCCCCAATTCATAGGTGAAGAAACTGTAGCACAAAGAGGTTAAGTAAATTGTTCAAGCCTACATACCTAGGAGCCAGGATTTGAAACTGGGTAAGCTGAGTCCAGAGTCTGCTCTCTTCACCATCACCTGTTCTGCCTTTCCTCTGGGCTCCAGGCTCATATATTCCAATGCATACTTGACATCTGCACCTAGATGTCTAATAGGTATCTTGGAGGTGAACTAAATAGAATGTTGGACTCCTGCCCCTTACTTTCACCTTAATCTTTCCTTCCCTGGTCCCACATCTCAGTGTATGGCACCACTAACCCACAGAAGTCAAGTTCAAATTTGATTCTCCTCTTTCCGCATTTACCCTAGTCTTCATTCCCATGCCCAGCCAATCCATCAACAAGCCCTTTTGGCTTGCCCTCAAGCATAGGTCTCCAATCTGTCCACTTCTCTCCATTTTTTACTACCATCCTAGTTCATGCAGAGCTATCATTTCATGTTACTGCAATTAAATTCTACCTGGTCTTTCTGCTTTCACTTTTGCGGTCTCCCCACAACCCAGCAGCTAGATTTATTTTTGAAACATAATCAGATCATGACATGGCCCAGTTTCAAAGTCTTCCAGGTGCCTCATATGTTCAAAATGCATACTACTGTTTCTAGCCCACAGGGCCCAGCCTGTCCTGGCACCTTTTCCTCTCTGCCCTCATCTCTTACTTTCCTCCTTCCTCCTCCAGCTTGAGTCATGGGCCTCACTCCTGCGTTTCCAGGAACACCCCAGCCCATGCTTGCATCACACCCTCTGTACCTGTTCACACTCCTGACAAAAATGGCAGCAGAAATGCTCCATCCTTGCATCTTCCTTTTATCCAGGCCTTGGCTCAAACATCACATGCTCAGACAAGACTTTCCAGAATCACTATCTTTTTTTTTTTTTCAAGACAGGGTTTTACTCTGTCGTCCAGACTGGAGTGCAGTGGCACCATCTCAGTTCACTGCAACCTCTGCCTCCTGGGTTCAAGAGATTCTCCTGCTTCAGCCTCCCAAGTGGCTAGGATTGTAGGTTTGTGCTACCACTCATAGATAATTTTTGTATTTTTGGAAAATACAGGTTTCACCATGTTGTCCAAGCTGGTGGTCTTGAACTCCTGACCTCAGGTGATCCACCCACCTCAGCCTCCCAAAGTGCTGGGATTACAGGCATGAGCCACGGCACCCAGCCTAGGACTTTCCTGAATCACTAACTAACTCAAACCTTAAGGGGTGAGTACGATTTTTATCCCCAATTCATAGATGAAGAAACTGTAGCACAAAGAGGTTAAGTAAATTGTTCAAGCCTACATAGCTAGGAGCCAGGATTTGAAACTGGGTAAGCTGAGTCCAGAGTCTGCTCTCTTCACCACCACCTGTTCTGCCTTTCCTCTGGGCTCCAGGCTCATATATTCCAATGCATACTTGACATCTGCACCTAGATGTCCCCTGATCACTTTCTATCACACACTACCCTATGGTGTGTGTGTGTGTGTGTGTGTGTGTGTGTGTGTGTGCTTTAGACTGGGTCTCACTCTGTTACTTAGCTTGGAATGCAGTGGCATGATCTCGGCTCACTTGCAACCTCTGCCTCCTGGATTCAAGCAATTTTCCTGCCTCAGCCTCCTGAGTAGCTGGGATTACAGACACCCGCCACCACGCTCAGCTAATTTTTGTATGTTTAGTAGAGATGGGTTTCTCCATGTTGGCCAAGCTGGTCTGAAACTCCTGATCTCATGTGATCCACCCACCTCGGCCTCCCAAAGTTCTGGGATTATAGACATGAGCCACCATGCCCAGCCTGTTTGTTTTTTAATAGCCTTTATCATTATTTAAAAATACCTCATTTACATTTTATTAATTTGGACATAGAGCTATTCTGTCTTGTTTACATTTGTATCCCCATTGCCTAGAATGGTGCTCAATACAGAGTAACTACTCAAAATATATTTTTAAAGGGATGAATGAATGAAATTGAGTGCACAGACAAGTGAGGTCAATCATGGCAGGTCGTTTGGACATAAGTTTTAAGGCATAGTTTGAAAGAGGGTAAGATGGTTCATTACTAGAGTGGAGAAAAGACATTTTTAGCAAAGAAAACAAGATATTCAAAGAAGTGAGCTGGTCTTAAATAAGTGACAGATAGAAGCTGATAGCTATATTAATTCAGGTGATATAGAAAGTTAGTGACTACAGGAATAAAATTAGCTTATCAGAGCAGGGAGTCATCACTTAGATATTGAATGTCAAACTAAGGAGTTTAAATTTATTAATGACTTCAGCTAATACTTACTGAGTTTCTACTGGATGCAGGTCCTATTCTAGGTACTTTTTATACAATAATGAACAAGCAAGATATAATCTCTATCCTCATGGTATTTACAGTCCAGTGGAAAACTGGCATCAAATACTATTCCATAAGCATTAATACAAATTGTCAAAGTGTGTGCTGAATTAATATTTTGGAAAATGACTCAGTATGTGTTTTGTCCCCCGCATTACTTGTTCTCCTTTGGCTCTTACCCATTCAATCAGCTCGGTATTCTGCATGTAATGATGCGGAAAACAGATGAATTGCAGAATCCAATATATAACTAACAAAAATCTTGTCCTAGCTCTTGAGTTCCAAAATCCTAGTTTTCAGTAGGCATAGAATATAACTTCTGTCATGAATAGTGATTTGAGAAAATACTCAATGAATCAGAGCAAGGCTTTTCTGGCCCAGAGACCGGCAACTTTTCTCTAGGATGGAGGAGAGTCAGAGGGAAGTGATTAGAACTTAGGTGGTGTTGGGTCTTTGCAAAACAGAGCCTCTACCCCATCTCACTGCCAGGCCAAGCTCCAGGGGGTGACAAATTCAAGATTAGTTTGGACTTCATAAGAGCAGAGGAGACTGGTGCTCACTTTCTCCAGGCCCAGCCCAGCAAATTGACCAACATTGAGTAGAAATGGCTTTGTAGATGCCTTTGCTCTTGGACTTTGAAACCTCACAGATTCCCCCTGTGCTTCTCTTTGATGCAGCGAGCAAAGTGATCTCTAGGCATACAGGAGTAGTACTCTAATGAAGCACAGCATTGTTTTTCTGACAGCAAATCTGTCATTTGCCAATGACTACCAATCCTCCAATTCTTTGATACCAACTGGGTGTCCAACAATTCAATTCAACTCTGACAACAATTACCTGAAGTTAGTCCAGACCCCACAAGTTATGGACTCAGTTGCATAACAGTGCCTCCACTTCACATGCTAGCCAAATATGGGGCTCCAAGCTAACTGAACCACTATTCAATCAACTACAAATTTGGGGATTCCCATGACTCTCCCTGTATTAGTTTGTTTTCACGCTGCAAATAAAGACAAACCCAAAATTGGGCAATTTACAAAAGAAAGAGGCCTAATGGGCTTACAGTTCCACGTGGCTGGGGAGGCCTTCCAATCATGGCAGAAGTCCAAGTGGCACATCTCACCTAGCAGCAGACAAGAGAAGAGCTTGTGCAGAGAAACTCCTGTTTTTAAAACCATCAGATCTTGGGAGATTTATTCACTATCATAAGAACAGAATGGAAAACACCTGAGCCCTTGATTCAATTACCTCCCATCAGATTCCTCCCATAACACACGGCAATTCAAGATGAGATTTGGGTAGGGACACAGCCAAACCATATCACTCCCCACCCTCTACCAGGTTTGATAATTCGCTGGAAAGACCCGCAGAATACGGGAAAGCACTATACTTACCACTGCAGTTTTACTATAAAAAATACAATTCAGAAATAGCCAAGTAGAAGAGATACATAGAGCCAGGAAGGGAATGGAAGGTGGACAGAGCTCCCATGTCCTCTCTGGGAATGCACCCGCCCAGCACATAAATATGTTCACAAACTTGGAAGATCCCTAAGCCTCATTGTTCAAGAGATTTTACTGAAGTTTCATTACATAGGCATGATTGATTAGCCATTGGTGATTGAACTCAATCTCTAACCCTTCGACCCCTCCCCTTCCATGGTTAGGGGATGTGGCTGAAAGACCCTGGTGGTCAGTTCTATCCTGAAGCTCTCTAGAGACCAAGAATTCTCTCTTTAGCGTAAGGTCAGCTATGATTCAAAGGGGCAAGTTATAAATAACAAAAGACAGTTCTATTGGGTTTAGAAGCCCTTGTTCCCTGTGTAACTACTCCGCCAGAGGCAAGTCTCAAGCTGTCCAACTTGATGTCACTGGGTTCACCTGGAACCCAGGTGAAATCTCAGGAGGAAAGGGAAAGGTGAGTACTTACTCTAATATCATTTTCAATTGCTGTTGAATAAGGGTTCAAATTATAAATCAAAGCCTACTCTTCCTATGCCTCCCTCCCTTCTTTCCTCTGTCCCTCCCTTGCTGCTTCTCTCCTTCTCTCTTTCTTTTGTTCACAGAGTCAACAGTGGCCGAGTGCCCATGTGTTTCATGGCGCTTGTCTAGTATATTTTTAAAAGGTGGCACCAGGGTGCTTCTGCTAAAATGGGTCTGTTGTTCATGGAGGAGCTGGGGGTAATGGCCCTGGAAGTGTGGGGAGATCAACAACTGACAGGGATCAGCCCTTCCAGTCCAAGTGGGACACTGCTGCCTACATTACCTTCCTCACCTTCGTCAGCACCGTGTTGTTCTTGCAGCTGCTGCTGCAACTCCCCTAGATCTCAGAAGGTGAGATCCCAGAAGGGTAACGTGGCCCTAAGCCTTAACACCATGACTCCCTGACAGCCCCTTCCTGTTTGTCCTGCCTTGTAGCAAGTAACAATGCCATGTTTGTGTTTACCTAGAAAAAATAATTAATTTAATTAACGGTGAGTCACATATTTAGAAAATAACTTATTTGCAGAACTGCGTTTGTAGATCGAGACTCATTCCTATCATTAAGACTGATCTCACCATGGTAAATAGAGCTATATAAAACTATATAAGTATCTGTGGAATCCCAAGTGGATTCTATTTAAATATCAGTAAGAGCCGAGCCCTGCCTACTAACAAGAATAGGAAGATAATTTAGAATAGAATACAGCCATTCAAAGGGTAAATCATTCCTATCTCAAAGTGCAACAACCTGGGACAGGGGTTACAGACCCAGATTTCACTAGAATTAAAGATGTGGACATGGGACCCTTTCTGGCTATGAAACTCCTATAACTGAGTTACGAGGCCTCAGTATGTTGGGAGAACACAAAACCCTGAGTCCCAGCCAAACCCAGGGTCAATTTGTATCCTCAGTGACCTCCTCCTGAAAGATAACACCAAATGTTTGGTGTGGTATAACGGTCTGCTTCATTTACCAATTTTAATTTGAAGAGGATCTGTAATTGAAAATAGAGTAAATTATGAAAACTGATTAATCTAAACCCACTGTATTCATGTATTCATGGTAAGTTGAGAAATACCTTGTGTACTTGCCATTTAGAATATACGCAATGATAGCACCAGGCACGGTGGCTCAAGCCTGTAATCCCAGCACTTTGGGAGGCCGAGACGTGTGGATCACGAGGTCAAGAGATGGAGACCATCTCTACTAAACCCCGTCTCTACTAAAAATACAAAAAATTAGCTGGGCACGGTGGCACGTGCCTGTAATCCCAGCTACTCAGGAGGCTGAGGCAGGAGAATTGCCTGAACCCAGGAGGCGGAGGTTGCGATGAGCCGAGATCGCGCCATTGCACTCCAGCCTGGGTAACAAGAGCGAAACTCCGTCTCTAAAAAAAAAAAAAAAAAGAATATACGCAATGATTTGGAGAATTTATTAGTAGCAGATGAGCAAATCAAACAGAATTACTTTATGATTTAATGTATAACATTTAATTGAATAATTGATTAACTTCTGACTTTAAGTTCAATGTATAAGAAAACTTTACTAAATTTAAAGATACTATTGGAACACTCAGGAGAACCTAATATTCACCGTATTTATGTTTAATATGTTAGAGTTACTTAAATTATTTTTGTTACACAGTTGAATGACTTAAAATTAAAACATGTACATTAAATGTATGAATGTAATTTTTCAATGTTTAAGAATTAAAATTAGGTTTGTAAATGGGCTCACACATTAATCAAAGGCCCTCTTGAAAGTGACCCCTTAATCAAAGGTCCCCTTGAAAGTGACTGTTCAAGTCTTATGCATTTATTAATAGAACAATGTGATTTTTATTTTGAATTTTAATGCTTAAGGACAAATAGTTTTCTGATCTTATAACCTTAAATGGAATATTAGTTTATAAAAACCAAACTCATTATAAATAATCTTCTCTGGTCATAAAAACTGCCATCACTCATACCTAAACCCAAGAATCACTTTCTTATAGTGATGGTTTAAACAGATGCAAACAGCAAGCAGATCTCATCACCTTTGCAGTGACATCCATCTAGAAAGGTGCTAGAGTTGACATACAGCAGTTGTATTGGTTCATTAGAGCCAATGAGGTCCACCTTTCCCAGCTCCTCATTTAGAGACATCAAGTTGATAGCTTGAAATCTGCCTTGGTGGGAGTATTTACATCACAGAGATTGGCAAACACCACCAACAGAGCTGCTTTCCCCAGAGAGCCGACTGTGAAACATTTACCAGCACACCAGTGCTTCCAGCACCCTTTGCTATTTCAACACTAGAATACAATTTAAGAATCACTGCGTATGATACATGATGTCAAAGAACATTCATATGGTTCTTATGAAATCTTAAGAAAGGAATGATTATGAGAGATACTGGAAAGAAAATGTCTATAAGACCAATGCGGTGCTTTGAAAATGGTGGTAATGGGAAGAGAGGAGTGGGTTGTATTTTCTCCCCTGGAATAGGAATCATTTCAAAGCACATCTCTTCGAAGAAGTTTACAGAGAGAACATTTCACAATTCAGTTCCCCATCCTCTGTGTTTTAAATGTCTTTGCTTCTGCTGTCAAGGATCTCAAGTGCCTTTTTAAAATTCCATATTGTTAAGGTAGCTCTGAGTTCTGAATTCTATCACTATTTACTTGTGCAGTTAAATGAACAGAATAATAATTGAATACCAGACTCTCAGTCACTGTCCTGCAAAAACAAAAGCTCTGCAGAGAGCTGGAGACGAGTGTGCTTTAAAACTGAAAAATGTCTTCCACTTTGCAAATTTGTAGATTCGAGACAGTGGGATTGAAGAAAACCTGAGGCTTCTACAGATACGTGGAAGGTTCACATAAGGGTTTCTAAAGGGTACTAGGGAAGGAAGTAGAGGGAAACCCTAAGGGCATGCTCCAAATATTATTTTCCCCACAAAAATAAGTGTTCTGTAGAATGTAAAGCTTAGGTCACAACATGATGTAAACACCTTTCTCATCAATATTGTGACAAGTATTTCCCTAGAGCTCAGAGATATGAAAATGAATAATGTAGTGTTTCCTTGGATCTCAGTGAATAAAAAAGTGAATGAGACTACCTCACTTTGCACACCGTAACTGGGAGAGACAAAATCATAAACAGATTAACTGGAGTACAATGTGGCCAGTGCAGAAATTCAGCATTTAGAAGATACCACAGAAGCCCAAGGAGTGGCATGTGACTCAGCCTTGGGTGAACAGGGGCAGCTTCCAGGGGAAGCTAAATTTAAGCTGAATATTAAAGAGTAGAGGTAAACCAGATACAGTGTATGTACGTAGTAGGAGGAATTACAGGCAGAGGGATGAGCATGAGAAAAGACACAGAAATGAGGAACAGCAGAGTGATTTGGCCTTAGACCCTTGGCTGAAGGGTAGATGGGGATAAGGAGAGGAGAGTGGAGGCCTCAAAGTTTTCAGTGAATTATCAAGGAGTAGGGCAATGCGAGTGGACCATGCTGGGTGTAGGCAAAAAGGGGGTAGACTGTCTATTAAGTATTAGAAAAAAATAATAAAACTGACTATATTGCCAATGATTCTAAACAATGACAACACGCTCCTCTCTATCAAGGTGCCCACCCACTAGCACCACTACATGTTTTTCCTGAAGGTCTGGGGCAAGGAAGTGATGCCGTTGGACTCCTGAGTAGTGCAGATCTGGAGATGCTATAATAACCGAACCTGGGTTAGCATAACTGACTCCGTCTTAGCCGCAAACCTGACAAGCTCTCTCGACCCTCTCCCTCCCTGCCGCAGCCCCTCAGGTGCATTACTGGGTCACGCTATGCTCAAAGCTTTGCACCGTTAAGAGTGGTTCACACTGTTCACAGCACCTGTAACCATTGCGTCCTGCTTGGCCTGTCTATCTGCTATTGTGAATATCCTCCTTGGCGACTGATTGTATGGAAAGTTCTCCCTGCTATCCCCCTTAGTGATTGTATGGAAATACCCTTAGCAACAACCCTGGGAACCAGCTGCCCCCTGGTTACCAGCTGCCCCCTGGTTACCAGCCTCCTCCTACTAACTTGCTACGTCTGCTTCTGTTAAATTCTGCTTCAGCTAGGCTGCCCCCTCTCCTACCTAAATCAAGGTATAAAGGGAAATCAAGCCCCTTTCTCGGGCCGAGAGATTTTGAGCGTTAGCTGACTCTTGGTGGCCCTCTGAATAAAGGACTCATAATTTGAATTCAGAGTGTGGCGTTTCCTTCTAACTCGCTCAATTATTACAATGCCAGCCTCAATAATATCTAAGTGAGAGAACCCTTCCTTGCATCCCACTCCCCATCCTAGGCAGATAGAGAGTGCCTCTACTAAACATCCTCAAAGTACTGAGCACTTTTCATTAATAACCTGAGCAGTTTGTAGTTATATCCACCACTGAAGAGAGAGAATGCAAGAGAAAACTACAGGTTTTCAGAAGATACATAGAGTTTGGGACAAGTTGAGTTTTATTGGCTTGTAGGAGATCAAGGAGAGATATACAGCAATAGGACATGGACTTTGGACTAAAGCTGTAGGTTCAAGATTCATTAGCATAGAAGTGACAGTTAAATCCTTGGGAGTGGACAAGGTAACCTGGGAAAAACTGAGAAAGATAGTGGGCCAAAAATGGAATGCTAAAAGCTGAATGTTTTGTCAAGAGATGTTAGAACAAGTATACATATAAAAAAAAGATGATGAAGAAATGCTCAGAGGCCAAAGATGAATCTGGACAACACAAAATTGCGGCAAGATTTTCCAGGACCAAATGAAGAGAAAGAACTGGAGATAATTCAGAAAACTAAAATATACATAAATGTCTATGAGGAAAAAGTGAAACCCATGGTGTGTGTGTTGGAAGGAAGTTGGTGGAAAAATGGGGAGGCAATGACAGAAACCCTGGAAAAATTTGGGAATGATGAAATCCCATCTGTATTAGCCAGGGTTCTCTAGAGGGACAGAACTAATAGGATATACATCTATATGACAGGCAGTTTATTAAGAATTGACTCACACCCATCATAGGTGAAGTCCCGCGATAGGCAGTCTGCACGTTTAGGAGCAAGAAAGCTAGTAGTAGATCAGCCCGAGTCCCAAAACCTCAAAAGTAGGGAAGCTGACAGTGCAGCCTTCAGTCTGTGGCCAAAGGCCCAAGAGCCCATTGGCAAACCACTATTGTAAATCCGAGAGTCCAAAAGCCAAAGAACTTGTAGTCTGATGTTCAAGGGCAGGAAACATCCAGCACTGGAGAAAGATGAAAGCTGGAAGACTCAGCAAGTCAGCTTCTCCCACCTTCTTCTGCCTGCTTTATTCTAGCCAAGTTGGCAGATGATTGGATGGTACTTATCCACATTGAGGGTGGGTCTGCCTCTCCCAGACTCAAATGTTAATCTCCTTTGGCAACACCTTCACAGACACACTCAGGAACAATACTTTGCATCCGTCGATCCAATCAAGTTGATACTCAGTATTAACCTTCACAAGTCCACCCCTTATCAACTTGAACCCATATACCTCTCCAGATAAAGACAATAATAAAGTCATAATTACACCTAACGTAATATAGCTATCCTTTGTACAACTGGAAGCATGCTAATCCTTAAATTAAGTGCTATTACATAAAGTTAACAACACTTAAATGCTGATATGGAATCAAAATCTTATGATTTTGACATGATAAAGAAAAAAATGATATTTTCTTAGTACAAGTGTTTACATGTGCAAACATATCTTTAGCAAAATGAGTAGGAAATTTTTTATGACACTTGCAGTCCTTGTTTTTGCAACTGGTCACATGGTCATAGATGATATTGATAACTACTTTTACTACTACCTATTCTGTATTCCTTTTGCCTTCAGCAAGCACCTCAGCCAGTCATGGTTTTTTTTACCTGGTGGAATGACCCAAATCTTCATTCCTCAAAGTTCTAGGCCATTTGTAGTCCTGTCTAGATTGAGTTGTTGTAGTTTCCCATTTACCTTAATCACAGGGCATAGTAATACTAAGAGACATCCTTTATTAGTTCATTCATGCTGCTGATAAAGACATACCTGAGACTGGGAAATTTACAAAAGAAAAAGGCTTATTGGATTTAACAGTTCCATGTGGCTGGAGAGGCCTCACAATCATGGTGGAAGGTGAAAGGCAGATTTCACATGGCAGCAGAGAAGAGAAGAGAGATCGCGCAGGAAAACTCTCCCTTCCCCCTGCCCTTTTTTTGAGACAAGGCTGGAGTGCAGTGGTGCAATATAGGCTCATGCAACCTCTGCCTCCTGGGTTCAAGTGATACTCCTGCCTCAGCCTCCCGTGTAGCTGGGACTCCAGGAGAACGCCACCACGCCCAGCTAATTTTTGTATTATTAGCAGAGACAGCGTTTCGCCATGTTGTCCAGGCTGGTCTTGATCTTCTGGCCTCAGGTGATCCATTTGCCTCAGCCTCCCAAAGTGCTGGTATTACAGGCATGAGCCACGGTGCCCAGCCAAAACTCCCATTTTTAAAACCATCAGATCTTGTGAGACTTATTCACTATCACTAAAACTACACAGGAAAGGCCCACCCCCATGATTCAATTATCTCCTACCAGGTCCCTCCCACAACATATGGGAATTACGGAAGCTACAAGATGCAATTTGGGTGAGGACACAGAGCAAAACCATATCATTCCACCCCTAACCCCTCCCAAACCTCATGTCCTCACATTTCAAAACTCATCATGCCTTCCCAACAGTCCCCCAAAGTCTTAACTCATTTCAGCATTAATCCAAAAGTCCACAGTCCAAAGTCTCATCTGAGACAAGGCAAATCCCTTCTGCCTATGAACTTGTAAAATCAAAAGTAAGTTAGTTACTTCCTAGATACAATGGAGGTACGGGCATTGGGTAGATACAGCCATTCTAAATAGGAGGAAAAATTGGCCAAAACAAAGGGGCTACCGGTTCCACGCAAGTCTGAAATCCAGCAGAGCACTAAAATCTTTATTTTTTATAGAGATGGGGTCTTTTTATAAAGAAAGGGAATTTATTTTTTTCCATTTGTGGTGGTTGAGAAGTCCAGGATCAAGAGGCTGCCTGTGGTGAGAGCCTTCTTGCTGTTGGGGACTCTGCAGAGCCCTGAAGTGGCACGCAGGGTGTCATGTGCGGTGGGGGCCGAGCGTCTGAGTTTCGGTCTGTCTTCCTCTTCTTACAAAGCCACCAGCCCTACTCCCATGATAACCGGTCAGTGAATAGATGAGGCAGTAGTAGTCCAGTAAGGACAGCAGGGAGACCAGGGCCCAGTGCGAGAGGCTCTGCTTGTGCATGCTGCAGTAGATGGAGACTGCAGCTTCGTGACACTGAAACCCGAAGCAGATGGTGGGGAAGACGCTGAACACAGAGGTCCAGGAGGCAGGGCTCAGTGAAGGACCGTGCTCATGCATGAGGCCCTGGGGCCAGAGGTAGTACTGCACTGTGATGACCAGGGCCAGGTAACAGGCGGCCAGCGTACCTAGGATGTTTGTGTATTTCTGGAAGGCGATCTCCCGTGGGGTAGACAGGGGCAGGATGACCAGCGTGGAGAGCAGGGGCAGGGTAAAGCGCTGGCCTGGGTACCAGGGCCATGGAGCAGGCGGTGTGCCAGACAGGAGGGAGTCACACAGCTTCTCCAGCTAGTCCCCAATCACCCTGAGGAAGGCCACAGAGATCATGAGCAGGTTGACGAGGAAGCAGGCCTCACACAGCTTCCCGATGGTGGGGGCCACACACAGTCCCCTAACCACACCCTGGTAGGTGGCCTGGCCACTGACAGCGGTAGCATAGCCCAGGATGACCAGCTCGCTGACCAGGAAGACCAAGGAGACCAGCTCCACCAGCAAGTCAGGGACCACTCCACCCACTTTGGAGAAGGCCCAGGGAAAGTTGAGCAGGCCAGCTCCCAGCGCAGACTTCAAGAGGATGAAGACAGCGCCCATGGAGGACAGAGTGGCAGCGATCGTGGCAGGGTTGGGCTTTTCTGGAAGACCTCTGCTTTCTGGGGTCACCAAATCCAACCTTTAAGTTGTGGACAGTCCTTGGCCTTCAGGGACAGGACTCAGGCTCACTCCAGGTGGTTCAGCTGGATTTCTTGGGGCCGGAGGGGTGGGAAAAGGAAAATTCTAGCTTGACTACAGGTGAGTGAGTCATTAACTAAAGGATTCCTAGCGAGTATGCTTCAGGGTCAGGCCCCCACTCCAGACTGGAGTGCAGTGACTATTCACAGGCACGATCCCACTACTGATCAGCACTGGAGTTTTGACCTGCTCCATTTCCGACCTGGGATTACAGGCATAAATCATGCCCAGCCAAGAGCTTGTGTCTGATTTTCCATAATTTCAGCCCTTTTCTCTACAGGCAATAAAACTCTCATTCAGGGCAATCTTAGAAAATTTTGGACTCAGTATCTGCTTCTGGAGCCAGAAGTTAGAATCCCTGAGTTTTTTTTCATCACTTTATCCAGCAAACTTGGGAGAAACCAAAAAACTTTATTACGTTTCTTGATTCTCCACATACGGTCAAAGGTATTGTTGGGAAAAGTAGCAAAGGAGAAAGGACTTACAGAGTGCCTGCATAAATTGATTATGAGTAACATATAAACAAGGAATAACAAACTGTGGAAGGCCACAGGAAGCCTCTGAGGAGGAAGGCCTCTCCATGCCTCATGTTCCCGTGCAGGGTGACCCAGCCTCTGTTACCATAAACATTGTGCTCAAGGATGTAAAACCCCTTCATAGAACTATGATGTAGCCAGACTTGTAGGCCCGAGTTCCACCAGCTGCACATAGATAATAAGCTAAAGAAAACCACATGTTCTTGTTTTGTGAAACTCCCAAACCGCCACTGTTATCAATCCTTAGGATGACACACCAGTCCAGCTAACTGATTCACTTCTGGCTCACTGATTCACTCCGCCACCACTCCACCCCTACTCTATAGATCAAAGTGATTGCAATCAATAAATAGCGTGGATGATCAGAGCTCGGGACCTTCATTGTCTCCTCCAAAGTAATAAAGCGATGGCCCCCCGGTCACACTTTCTCTCTTAATCTGTCTTTTTCTCATTCCTTTGTCCCACTGAACTTGGGTACCCATAGGTGATATAGGGCTGGCTCCCTACAGGTATTATGTATAGAGTTGCTAAACTCCTTGCTCTCCAGCACAGCGAATCAGGAATATTAAATGCATTTATTTTGCGTAACTCTCTGAACAGTTCACACCAAGGACTATCAGTGTTTTCTATAGTATTTGAAGTAGAGTCCTTAGCATTTTTGGGGTCTAATCAGATTAAACAGCCAATTCTAGAAACCCTGAAGCCAACTA